GGGCGCGGGCGGAGGGGAGGTCACGGAGATGGAATCTGCGCAGACACACATGGCTTGGCCGCTGGCAATGAAAGCCTGAAAGAAGCTTCTTGGGGTGGGGGGACTGGGGGCTGCCTTAGGCTGCTGCTACGGGAAGTCCGGCCCAAACGTCCTTTTGTGCCTTCAAGGAACTTGGGAGTGTGGAGCAGCTGCCGCCTGTTGAGGCAAAAATGGCCTAATCTGGGGCCCTTAGTTCTCTTGAGCAGTCAGGCCCTCCCGGATCCACTGTGGGAGTGGGTGGGGGACGGGGAGGGCCGCAAGGCGCTGGTGCCTGCAGATCTGTGATGCGAAAGTTGCTGGGATGGCAGCGTCCAGGGGGCCCTCAGGACTGAGGGACAGTGGACGGGCCCACGCCGCCCTGTAAAGCAGACAGCGAGAACAGGATCTGTGAAGAAGAGGAGAGATTGAAAAGGAGCGCCCGTATATCCACAAAGAAAGGGAAACTGAGTCATGGGGAAAACCTCTGAATCTGAGCGAAAAACAACACGCTCCCCAGAGCCCAATCATTTAAAAAGGCGTCCATGGTCCTAGAGATTGAACAGGCCTGGGATCCCTGGGCTTTGCCTGATGCTCTAACTGCAGAAAAAAATCTGATCCAGTTGATCCTGGGAAATCTTTTTTTGGGGGGGAGGGGGGACACCTTAGAAGGTTGCCCAAGCAGGTACAATGACTAATACCTAGAGTAGCCCATGGCTTTTGAGATTCTCTTCTTGAAATCAAACGGTACATAGAATCCCTATTTATAATCGAAACCATGGGACAGCCATTAAACAAACAAAGACCATTTAATTGGTTCACACCTGCTCAGCAAAGATTAACCACATAGATCCAGAATAGTCCTCGGGCTACTGTGGGCCTGTGCCCCACGGCCTTTCTCTACCTGACACCCTGGCCACTTTGGGAGGTTGTCTGTCTTTCAAAACTCTGAAGTGGGCAGCGCCTGTGGCTCAAAGGGCGCTGGCCCCATATACCGGAGGTGATGGGTTCAAACCTGGCCCTGGCCAAAAACTGCAAAAAAAAAAAAAAGAAATCAAAACTCAGAAGTTATAAAACTGACCCTTTCCCTCCTGTTCCTGCAAAAACCTAAATCCCTGGAAAGAGGTGGTGGGGTCTGCAGCACGCTTCACCACTGGCCAATTCATTCAAGTCTGACTTAGCTGTGTCTCTTGAAAACAGAAAGCGCTGCCCCCTCCAAGTATCTGGTGTGCAAGGAGCAAAGTAAGTCCACGTCAGCAAGTACTGGTATCGGCCAGTGATGGCTAAAGTCACAGTCTGAAAAAGCATAAAATGTGCCTTCCTACCTGTGAAAGCTAACAGCGGGCTCCAGCTGGGGGGAGGGAGTGTCCTATTAAATCATAAGAAAAATAAAACTTGGCAGGCAAGTAAAAATAGTGAGACTTAATTAATTTGAAACAAAGTAACCTCTAATTACCTTTGTATTCTTGTTACATGTTCCTGCTCCTAAGTTGTTTGATCTTCATGGATTTTAATATATCTTGTTATTTACCAAGGGATAGTTTGTGTTCTGATAAAAGCTTCCGAGAGCTTTTATGTCGGTGTCATTTGCCTCAGTCCTGAGTCTATAGCCATTGACAGGAGGTCCTTAACCCATGATAATTGACATTGCTTCTTGTAAATATCCAAAGAGGTAAGTTTTAAATTGATTTCTCTGTTCTCACTAGAGCCTCAGAGAGTATTTGGCATATAGAAGATAGTTTTAATTGAGGAAAAGAACTGTCTGCAATCTGCATTTCCTACCCTATTTACGGTGGAATGCAATTCAGAAAAGTAAAAAGGGATGGGGGGCACTTTCCATCCATTCTGCGCTGATAAGCTAGTTAAAAAACATGAAAAAAAAAAA